CTCCATCCTATCTCGATCAGGCCAATCCTTTCAGACTTGCGTCCAGTTGCTGCAATGGCTAAATCACGATTAAGTTACTGAACATCACTCAGAGCTTTCCCAAAACAGGCAGAGCTATCTTCTTTCCCCTAAATATCAAAGCGATAAAGGATACCAACAAAACCAATGGCCACATAGGTGCTTTTGATAGCTGGTCAATGTCAGAATACTCCAATGAAACTCTGAGAGAATAGAATAACAGAGTTGGAAGGGACCTTGGAGGTCTTCTAGTTCAACCCCCTGCTTAGGCAGGAAACCCTACTCTACTTCAGACAAATGGTTATCCAACATCTTCTTAAAAACTTCCAGTGTTGGAGGATTCACAACTTCTGGAGGCAAGCTGTTCCACTGATTAATTGTTCTAACTGCCAGGAAATTTCTCCTTGGTTCTAAGTTGCTTCTCTCCTTGCTTAGTTTCCACCCATTGCTTCTTGTTCTACCCTGAGGTACTTTGGAGAATAGCTTGACTCCCTCTTCTTTGTGGCAGCCCCTGAGATATTGGAACACTGCTATCATGTCACACCCTAGTCCTTATTTTCTTTAAACTAAACCAGGGGCCGGCAACCTTAAACATTCAAAGAGCCACAAAGATCCTAACTGGAAGCCCCCTGTTCAATTCTGGAGCCGACCGACAGTCCAGTTCCTCCACCATAGAGTCTCCTCCTAGCACAGCACCCTTTTTCCTCTACCTGACTTAACCGAAAGCCCTATCAATTGTGGAGCTGATTGGAGACAGGGAGCTGCAGCAGAGGGATGAAAGAGCCACATGTGGCTGTAGAGCCATGGGTTGCTGACCTTTGAACTAGGCATACCCATTAATTAATGCTATCATTCCGAATGCTCCTTCAGTCTCAATCATTTTTTTTTAATTTTTCTGGAAATTATTTATATCTCAGAATATACTATTTCATTTCTCTGTCCTCTCCCTGTGAAAATAAATTTTCCTCTCCCTAACTCTTTTATTAAACTAGATACCCAATGCACCACCCTCGGGAAGGTTGTTATGGTGACAAGGATGACTTTCCTGGAGTGAGAACATATGGTGTTCGAGATACAGATGAGACCTATGATGTCTATTGTTATGCACAGGAAATGGAAGGTAATGGTTTCTTTTTATACTCAGCACACTGATGTTCTATTCTTCAGCTAGAAGGCCTTAATGATAGCTTGTGCAGGGTTTAAAACATTGCTCAATGATTTGAGCAGCAAAATAAACACATTGATTGGATGTCCTTTTAGATGCTTTTTAGGGTTGTGTGCCTTTCTCAACCCAACTTGTACAACGATTATTAAATGGGAGTTCTTGTCATCTAAAATATTGGGAATATCCACAATATTCAGGAAGGGTACTGTGGATATTTTAATCAGCACAATTAAAGGCAACAGCAGAAGAGGAAATGTTGATGGTCAATCAATGTGAGGACCACTTGAAGCAGTTGCAGAGCAGCTGTTAAGATCAACCAGTTTGATCCACCAACAAAGCAAAGATTTGTCTTGTTCTTTGTCCATTCCCCTTATCCATCCACAGGTACCTTATTCAAGAGCTCCCTAGAATCAAGAGTTCCACAGAATTTCTTGAATTCGAAACTAGAGTCACATCTTATCTAGATAATAATGATATCAAAACCTAATTTCTGGATGACTTCTCCAAAGGGCGATATGGTTTACCTCCAGAAGTTGTGGGTGCTCCAATTCTGGAGTTTTTCAAGAAGAGGTTAGACAGCCATTTGTCCAAAATGCCATAGGGTTTCCTGCCTGAGCAGGATTAGAAGACCTCCAAGGTCCCTTCCAAGTCTGTTATTCTGTTCTTTGGGTGGGGGAGAACAGCGAGTTTTTTGAAGGAACTGACCTCCCTTTTCTGAATTCAAAAATTATTTTGGAAAATGAGCTACCTCTAACATGAAAGCAAATACTCTTTAATAAGTGTTTGGGGTCTGTTGGTATCAACTAGTTATAAGTAAATTTGTACTATAATAACTGTACCATCAACACCAACGCTATTCAGAACATTTTCTAGATTTATCAAAACTCTTATTTTCTTACTTTTTAAAACCCTGTACTCAAGAATCTGAAAATAGCAGATTTGGTACTCTGCTTCTCAATTTAATCCTCTCAGCAACCCATGGAGATATATTATGCTGAGAGAAAAATTGGTCAAAATTGTAGGGGGTGGCTGATGGGCTTTATAGTTTAATATTCTGGATTTATCTTTAGGACTGAATGAAATAGGTTGAATTTGCAGGTAGCACACTTGGGGAGGAGGGAGCAATTTTCAGACTATTCCCAGGGAGACATAATTCTCTTCTACGATGTAGCATCTGAGTAGTTAATGAAAATGTATTATAAGTGAAAGAAGGAACAAGCTGAGGAGGGAAAATCTTAAGAGAAAATGACAGGGGACACCTGTTATTCTTTTCAAATGGATCCAACAGGGAACAACCTCAATCGTTATCCACATTTTTCATTGTGGCCCTGACTGACAAAAATGGGTGGGGTTGCCTTAAGATGATAGGAGCTGTAATTTTTCCAAGGTCCAGTTCTTCAGAAATCAAGAGTTCCAATTTATTTATTTATTTAGCGTATGACAAATACATGGCCTTACACCGTGTTTCCCCCAAAATAAGACAGGGTCTTATTTTCTTTTGACCCCTGAAATAAGAACTTGGCCTTATTTCGGTCAGGTCTTATTATTTTTGAGGTGCAGGAGACCCCTTAAGCTCGGCCTGTGGCCTACAGACCAGCTGATCCAGGAAGTTCTGTTTCTGGCGCACTCTTGCCAGCCCTAACGTTGCTGGGCCTGCTGCCCTTTTTTGCCGCCGCCACTAAGAGAAGGGGCACGGTAGCTAAGGTTTGCGGGAGTGGCCTCTGCGAAGCCATTCCGTGTGGATGGCAGGTACAAGTGGAGTGTGTGGGGCATGCCCCCCCCCCAGCTAAATGGCAGGGACTGGCTGTGCATGCGTTTAAATATTTTAGGGGAGGGATCATTTTTGGGGGAGGGATTATTTTAGCGCATGCACTCAAAAGCCCGATTGGGTTTATTATCCAGGGAGGTCTTATTTTGGGGGAAACAGGATAGTAGTTCCAATGCTAATGTCCAGTCCATCCAGCCATTCAAGGACAGGATGGTCTATGTTGAAAAAATCAGACATTGGGTTGCTGTAAGCTCCTTTGTTGTTGTTTGGGATTGACAAGGCCCATTTTGTTTATCCATTGCCATGTATTTAGAGAGCCAGGTGTTCTACAAAGATGTCATCCTGCCAACTGTCGTTAATTGCCAATTAGTACGACTCCCAATGGTTGCTAGTCATTTGGTTCACACTTCCTTGCTATCCAGGGTATACCATGAGGAGGGGAACTAGCATTACACCCCAAGAGTTCCAATTTCTATTAGGTCCATTCTCAGAAACGTGTTTTCTAATCCATTTCCCCCTCCACAGATTTTCCTTCTGGACTCTTCGGTCCCTACATATAAGCAAAGATAATGTTCTGACCTAGGCTTCCTCAAACCATGAGGCAGATTCCTGGTCCTGACAAAAATCCCTTTTATTAAATGAATGTGAATTCCTCTCATTCGCATTCAGCAAAGGCCTGGTAAACAGTCTTTCAAAGGTGACGTTATGACCACAGACCTCATCTAGCTTGGAAAGCTGCCATGTAAATATTTTACAAATGCAGTGCTGTGCAAGGAAAGACTTGGCACAGAATCTCTGGGATTCATGGACAGATCTTCACACTCCTGAAACAAATAAATGAATGAATTGTTTCCTGCAAAACCCTTTTGCTCCTCTTTTATTTCCTATGGGAAGGGCCATTCACCGTCCACCTGTGGCTTTACTCCCAAGTTGACCCTGATTTCTTAGGTGTTTTTTTCTTCTGGCAGTTCTGTGTATGCACACACTGGGAACAGGCTCCAGCTGTTCCTCTGCCTCACTGCTGTTTAGCTCCAAAGGCAGCTGAGAACTGCCAGATGGCCTTGGCCCCACCTCTTCCTCCGACACAGAGCCCTCGTCCAAGCCTTTCCCAGCCTCCAGGATTGGCCCATGTTCCTCCCCAACCTCCTCACTCTCTGACTCTGCTGCCAGCTCCACTGGCCACTGGCAGGCCACAACAGATAATGGATAGAAAAGTCTAATGAAGCTTCTCAGTAGATGGAAACGGCACCATTGGGCAGCTCATCAGTAGCAATAATTGTGCATTGTGTTTGCAGGCAAAGTCTTCTATGCCACCTCGCCTGAGAAGTTCACCTTTTCAGAAGCAGCAGAGAAATGCCATAGTCTCGGGGCACGTTTGGCAACCACAGGAGAGTTATATCTGGCCTGGAAGGATGGGATGGACGTTTGCAGTGCTGGCTGGCTGGCAGACCGCAGTGTCCGGTATCCCATCAACAAACCAAGTCCCATCTGTGGTGGCAACCTGGTGGGCGTACGTACGGTGTATCTTTACGTCAATCAGACTGGGTATCCTTACCCTCATTCCCGCTACGATGCCATTTGCTACACTGGTGAGTAGAAACAGAAAGAGGCATGGAGCCTTTTTTTCTCCCAGTCTGTCTCCATTTTGGCAGTTCTTTTTTCCCCTATATTTCATGTCACCTTCTGCTCCCCACTTTCTTTAAAAAAAACACACACAGAGATGTGCATTTCTCTTCCTCTGAAATATGCATTTGTGTGTCAACGTCTTTCCAAAACACACAGCCTTATAAGTTTTCTTTTCTTTCATCTACAAAAGTACACGCATCATTTAGGAGATTTAGAGAATCATCTTTCTGCTCTCATTGTCCATTAAAAAAAAAACAGTTCGAACAAATGTGTCCAGCATCACTTTCGCTAGAATTACCATATCAAAGCGGTTCAAAATGCACGTGTTTCGCCAATTTACCCTAGGAAGATCAAGTTCCACTGACTTTTGCAGGATAATTCTAGAAGAGAAACTGTGGCTAAACATATACATTGCTGTAGGCCATGGTTTGTTTGAACTGAACATTGTGAAATGAGACAATGGTCGGTGAAGATTATGCTAAGCCATAAGCCATGATTACAAGCTGTAATGATTGGAATCACACACAGCCCTCAACCAAAGCTGAATAAATCATATCAGGGATTAGTGCAATGTGTGATCCGCGTCTGGGATCAGAATTAAAGTGCTAGTTAACAAGGTAAACCCATGCAACTTTCTCTGCTATGTGTAAAATGCTTACCGCCAGGTAAATGCTTCTTCCCAAGTCAATTTAATTCTCTATTACAAGTGAGTCAAATCCGAGGCCTTAGGCTCTTGAAACCCTTCGGAAGAGGTACAAGAGATATGTAAATGGTTTTATTATTTTTGTTTGACCAAAGGGGGAAAAAATGATACATATGTGACTAGAGAGTAATCATGATTACTACATCACTTATTATTAAATTTGTAAAAAAAAAAAAAAAACTAAGGTGGTGCAATGGTTAGAATGCAGTATTGCAGGCTAACTCTGCCCACTGCCAGCAGTTCGATCTTGAATGGCTGAAGGTTGACTCAGTCTTCCATCCTTCCCAGGTTGGTAATATGAGGACCCAGATTGTTGGGAGCAATATGCTGACTCTGTAAACCACTTAGAGAGGGCTGTAAAACACTGTGAAGCGGTATATAAGTCTAAGCGCTATTGCTATTGCTAAAAGTCCTGGAAACATCCCTAAAAAGGATGTGTTCCCTATTGTGATTTGCTTTACCAAACAAATAACCTGACAGGTATCTCCTTTGTGCTTTAGATGTTGGCATTCATGTCATCCATGACAATGTTACAGAGGGCTCTCTTGAAGGGTTGGGCAGTGGCTTCACCGTCCAGACATTTACTCAGACAGATATTGAGCTGGAGCTTCCACGCAACACTACCGAAGAAGAAGCCCGAGGAAGCATTGCAACCTTGGAACCCATCGACTTTACTACCGCCACCTTAGAGGTGGATGAAGCCATCACAGAAACTCCAGATCTCTTTCCAACAGGTTTCACGGGTGAAACGGAGAACAGGACTGAGATTGGGATCTGGGAGGACTTAGAAAACGGTACTATGTCAACCCTGGATACTCTCTTCCCCACCGATATCCCAGAAACGACATCGGAGGAATATAGTTCATGGTCTACTGCCACAACTGAATCTGAGTCAGCCTCACCATTTACAGTAGAAGAGCAAATCGTGCCAGGGACAGCGGCTTCTCCTGTTGATCAAGTCCCTCAGAAACCCACTTCTCCCACAGGTACGCAAGCAAGGCTATCCTCTGTTTTTCAATGAAGATTTCCCCTTTGTGTTTGTATTTATTAGTTTGTCAAACATGTACAAGATAGCAGATATAAGAATAAACATGGACATGAACAAGGGAAATGAGTACAAATAAATGGAGACAGTAGGACAGGGACGGTAGACACCAGTGGTGGGTTTCAAAAATTGTTCGAACCTACTCTGTGGGTGTGGCCTCCTTTGTGGGAGTGGCTTGCCACCCATGTGACCGGATGGGAG